TCTCCGAAGCGCCTCCACCCACAAAAAAATTATTAGTAGCATCTTATAGCTCTCTTGCTACCATACAACTTTTGTACTTGCTATATTTTCATATCTCTAAAAATAGCCGAGATATTCTAGGTGGACAGAGTTAGTGCCCCACCCTGTATAAGTCTATGGTACATGCACAGTTTTGCAAATGGCATCCAACCGTAAAAAAACCTATTCCTTTGAGCGGATTCCCTCCCAATAAACCGTAAAAATCGGGACCACTTTTTCCATTTGTGCGCTATCAAGTTCGATCTCCTTACTCTTACTTCGTGGTTAAGTGTAATAAAAACTGAAAACAAATGTGAAAGAATTTTTTGTCGATCGGACATATTTAAGACGCCATCTTGAAAAAACATTTTAAAAAACCGTTTTTTACGATCATCCGGGGGGGTGCAGGAGGAAGCCCCCCTTTTGGGGGCGCAGCCCCACCCTGCCTACACACTTACAACACAGACATAAAAACTTACTTTGTTTATTGGTTTTTAAAAACTTACTACATATCATATAGAATCGATTTTAGTGGATATAGTTCTTATTTTTTTTTTAATTTGTTTTTCATTTCTCGAAGTAGGAACTACGCGCGTTTTGTTTGTCCCATCGAATACTATTTTTGTGCAAAATTTCAGATTGATCGGGACCATTCAGGGGCCATTATTCCACTATTGTAACATAAAAACACATAACAAAGTGATCGCATTCAAATTATTCTTCTTCTATGTTTCTGATCTATATGGCATAATTTGCGGGGGCGCGGCTCAAATCTAGGAGTTATCCTATACAATATTGCGTTGATTAAAGTCAGTTTTAACTCTTATTGTTCCGACTTTGTATATATTATATATGTTGCATACATATACATGTATAATATGTATGTATTTTATTTTATTCAAAAGGATTTCGCGGACTTCCCGAAGACCATCAAGCACGTAAACATGTCCTGGCTGGAAGAGACTTCCGCGCAATTCAAAAGGCAAGATGAAAGTTTGCATGCTATAAAACTGGTCGGTGATTATTGCAATTGTCCATGCACGCATCGATAACGTAGCGAAAATATGTATTTTATGTGTAATAAAATGTTGTTGGCAAATGTTTCAAATGTAAAAATAAAACAAAAATGTTTTCTAATGGAAGAAAAATAAAACTGTAAGGCAGTAAAAAAAGATGCCTTGTTACTTTCACTATTATTTTCCTCTGTACTTAAGATATATTTAGGCGTATACATAAGCACTGCGAAAATTTATAATTAACAAGGTGACACGAAGAAATGACAAACGGAGAGCGAGTAAGGTGTAGCCATGGCGTTGCGCTTTGCAATTAAATAAATTAAGTGAGTGTGCAATTTCTTAAGTGGTCTCGAGAATAAAAAATATATTCAATTTTTTGCGAGAACAAACTTAAAATTTACGCCAATGCTGATTATTACACATATCAATCGATATTTGTTTCTAATTATTGACAAAACTAATTAACACCACGTGGAAAGAGGAGAAAATAAGAGAGTGTAAGAGAGAGAAAGAGAGAAACGTTTTACAACTGAGGTTCAATTATAACAGTTTAATTATTCATAGAATATGCACAGTTTTAACGTATACACAGACGAGAGACACTGACAACAAACAAATGAGAGATTACGCATTCATTAAACACATATTGACGTTTTACAAACAGCGCGCTAAATGTGGATTATATTAGTGGTAGATTGTACAATACGCCATACTAAAGAATAGAGGCAGTAGAAATATAAAACATATGAAGTTCAACAGATACAATACCGGAAAGAATTAGAAATTTCGTTCGCGTTAAAAGAAGAGGAAAAAACACCTCTACGAAATACTTGTTTTAAAACAGGCGTAGCATGTGTTCCCTGATATCCTCTGATATGTTATTCGCGGACGATTGCATCCTTTGATTTCTTTCGACCCTTTTTCACACTCTTATATTGATAGTTTTACGTTTAACGTTATAATATAGAGTTTTTGTATGTGTGTATATTCTCTTTAAACTTCTATTTTACACTTATTATCTTCGTCAGGAACATCGATGCAAAGGAGTTCGCAAACAGCCAGCAAGACTTTTGCAGCTACTTTATTCTTGAAAGCTTTAAGTCAACTAGTTTGCAAGATAGTGTGATAGAGTATGTTTTTTTTCTTTATCGTTTCTCGCCGTACACCTTATAGAGTTGGAAAGTTTGATAATATAGCTATGTATAAATAATCGTGTCCTAAACTTATAAACTTATCTCTTTCTTGTGCTAAAAGTTATGTTTGCAAGATATATTCCTACCAAAATTAATAATGTTTCGATCAGTTACTTCGGATTGTCTGCTGTCTGGACAAACTGAATTACTCCTTGGAAATCGAATTTTTAATGTTGTTTTGTAATTATTATGCGTAACATTCTATACAAACAAATGATTAGAAATTATTATCAATATTAAGGTTTGATATTTGTTCAGAAATAAAAATTCAAAGCGTTCCTTAAAAATCTTGGAATTTCAGTTTTCTGAACTTTCTGACGGTGGTGCGTTTCCTCTTGGTGGTGTGCATTGCTCTTTTTTTCATTCCACTACGTATCTATTTGCCGAAACAGGACACGGCGTTGAAGGCGCATTGCTTCCAGTAACTTCGTTTACGCAGTAAATCGCCGATGTCCATCTGATTGCGCAAGCGCTTGACGATCTGCTTGGTGAACAGGTAATTTATTAGGGCTGTCTCGATGCTGCCGTCGTCGTCTATCAACTGGAACAATTAGACCAGATGTCTGACTATCTGTTTTTTCTCTACAAAGCTGTCGCTCTTCTGAGAGAAGAGAAAGTAGGTTGATGTAAAGTATAATTTAATTATTTCAAAATATTGGTTTTTTTTTGTTTGCTTTTTTGGAGACTGCTGATAGAGAATTGCATCTTTCACTATCATAGAAGGTAACGCTCACAATACGCGAAAGAATGAGCAGTAACGAGAATACGAGTAAAAAGTAACGCGTAAAATATAATCAAATACATTTAGGGTGTATATTAGAGTTAGTTCGCGGCTACGTATCGTTTGTGATTTGGTTCAATATGTTAGTTTTAACATCAAATTTTACGGAAAAAAAGAACACAGGAATACAATTATTTCCTGTTACTGTTTCGACAAAATAAAAAGCGAAAGAAGTACATATTTGTAACATTACGCCGTAACATTATGTGAGCGCATTTTTGTTAGAAATTTAATGGGATATAAACTCTGGATAGTGACTAGAAGATTACTACTGTATTTATTATCGATAGGCGCGCCTGCCTGTGTGGCGTAGTCGTTTATACAGGTCGACTGACATATTTATTTATTTCACTTCTCTATCGCAATAAAAAGCAAAATAATATGTAGCAGCTCTTGCGCATAATTTTTGTATAATATATCCAAAGCGATATTGCATATTAAAATGATGACAGTTATGCAAATCAGATCTCTAAAAATATAATTTGTGCGAAAATTTTACGTAAAATATATTTATTGTCATGAAAAAAAAGCTTATATATAAATATTAAAGATTAAATATTAAAATATATGTAATATATTATGTTTATATGTAAATATTAAATATTATAACTCAGCTAAAAAAAGAAGATAATGCTACAAAATGATAAAGTGCAGCAAGTAATGACATTTGATGCTTTCGCGGTGTGTTGTATTAACATTCGAAGATGTTTTACGGGTTTGAATCGTATCAGACTGCTCTTGAAACCCTGATGAAATGAGTTAAAATGTTCACGAAACGTCGGTATAAAACTGACACCAATGCGGTTCAAACCCGTAAAACATCTCCGAAGTTAAATAATGACATTATTTGTGTCGCTTCATGAAATCAGATACATATATATTATTTGTACTTAATTCTAACTGAAAGAGGAAAAGAAAAAAGACACACAATACAAACAGTATTGCAAAGACAAGACAGTTATTACTTTTTGCAATTGCAAATGTGTTCTCTCTTGATTATTTAATGTCAGTAACTTTCGTTTAAATTTTTATTGCAGAATTACACACAATCTCTGTATGTAGTGTTTTGCCAACAACTTTCAATTATCGGACGGAATAGCTTCTATTATAGAGAGAGTCCTATTATGAAAATACATTATCTGACAATCACAAAAGCGAAGTTGGCGTATCAGAACTGAATAAAAAGCGAAACACAAATTAGTTGTGTAATTATTATTTAGTGTGTTTGATGTGTTATTATCGTTTCTTTCCTTTCTTCCATTTTCACGCAATTTTAATCTCTCTCTCTCTCTCTCTCTCTCTCTCTCTCTCTCTCTCTCTCTCTCTCTCTCTCTCTCTTTCACTCGATAAAATCTCTTATGCGAGAGATTGGCACATTGTTCACATTTCTTTCGAATTAAAAAGATCGATACATTGAAAGATATATTAAACAAATACTAGATTTTATACTTTATTTGTTGTTAAAAGAGGAGAGAAAAATCCGGTTGACAAATTATTGATTTATGACCCGGCAATTTTATTGACTATACGCGATTTTTATTGCTTGACTACTTTTCTTTACTTAGGCCTTTAGGATTTTTTGACTCATCTTTATCTTTTCCAACAATATTTTATAGAACTGTGAAATTTCTGTAAATAAAACCAAAACTTGGAAAACTTTTATTATATTTTCCCGAGTTTTATCTAACTTTATATGTTGTATTAACTTTTTATCTTTCGAGAGATTTTTCAATTTATTGTATCATTTCAGAAACACGAATAGAAGAGGAATAGTTCGAAAATATATAATAATTCACACGCGCGAGTATACATATGTACGTATTTTCAAATATCAATCAAACGATCATTTTATGTAACTTTATTTATACAACTTTATCGCACATTTTTGAAGCGAAAAGCGCGCGAATCTGAATTACGTCAAATGACTGGATACTTTTTACAAATACATAATATATTATATGTCATTCTTCTAATGACACATTTTTTTGTCTTGCTTTTCTTTTTTCCATCTGGTGACGCAAATAAATGTTCTAAGCTAACTGGTATCGCGTTTCCTTTTGTCGATCTTATTTGCAATCCAAGAACGACGCGAAGCGTCACAGTTACGTAACGCGTACGGGATACAATTTTCTCTCGTAGTGTTTATTTCACTTGTTGCAGATAGAAAATGAGAAAATAGTATCAACATTTTCATAAAGAAGTTTTGCCATGTGTTGGCATTCTATTCTCTTGTAAAAGAATCATCGTGTCATCTGTCATTGGTGCAACAAGTGATAGAATCTATTGAATATTATCGCGCATCGATCTTGATAAATCTCGCGTCTGATTAATTTCTTGGATTACAAGAGCGCGTTTTTATACATCGACGTTTAAAAAAAAATGCTCTGCATTTTTTTCTGTACTTGTCCTCTCGATAATAATTCCATTTTCATCCCTGAAACGCACGAGGCGTGAGCAATGGGTTTGTGAATTCGAATACAAACATCTCGATTTTTCTGCTACGGAAATCGAGATTCTACACGAGAGGAAACGAATTTACGCAATATACTTTCTATATAAGTCAAACAGAATTACGTCGAGAAAATATATCAGACAAAGCTGAGAAGTAAAAAGAATCTTTGATTTTCCGTTCATTTTCTTTAAGAAGCAATTACGAGGAAACTTTGATCGTAAATGTTACATTAACATGATTTGTTTTTACCTCTTTCTTTGAAAGAAGTTCTTTGTCGGATGTGTCAATTATTAAAATCTATCACCTTTAATTTTCTTTGGTACGCTCTTATGCTGGATTAATATTAACATTACAAAAAAAAACAAAACCGTGCGATTTTCTTGCATTGTTTTTCGAGTAAACATTCCATTACTGCAATATAAAGTTCATTGCTTGAATGGCAATGTTAAAATGAAGTATATGTGTGTCCGTTCGCGTTTGATTCGAGCAATTTTCGTCATCTAAGGAATTTAAAGGACAATCTGAGAGAGAGAGAGAGAGAG